TACATTTTTTCATTCATTTCTGGTTGGAGAGGCACTTAGAAGCTTTTTTACATATGACGAAAGTCAGAGTTGGATGAAAAATGATTTATTACTGTTTATATTCATTGTGCAGCCTAGCAATGCCGGTCTGATGAATTTATGGCATTTTACATAGTACACTCAGTTGAACAGTCGAGCTTGATATAATGTTAAAACATTTTCATGTTATTTTTTACTTTACTCCTTGCTCTTGTTATTCTATCTCACTCAGAATTCCACGATGAAAGCAAAATATGTTACGATAGGAGTGAAAAATATTATATTGTCGAATAATAAATTTCATATATGTTTATACATACAAAAATGTGTATCTTCAGAAAAAAATCGCATAAACAAATTCTCATGTGATCAAAAAGCTAACATTTACATAATGTGCTCGTGTGTCTGTTACTTATTTTCATTTTCATATTATTTAAAGGTATTTTTTGATGCGCATAGAGAATATTACTATGGTACATGGAATAAGAAGTGTCGTGAGCAATTTTTAGTGTAATTTCACATGACACAAGAATAATAATTTACATCATTTCTTGTGTATATTATAACGTGAAAGATGATGGAAACAAATTTTTACAAAAGCAACACTCGACAGGTAAGCAGGTCGTTTATTTGCTCAGCAAAGGTCGAGTTTGTCTCATTTGATGATATTTTACAGGCTGCTAAGCAGAATGTTCGTAACATAACCGAAATTGAAATTTCCTTCTTATTTTCTTTCATCCATTACCAAAAGTAAAATGAGCGGAGCGAATGAAAAAAAAAAATGGAAAAGTTTTCAGCATGGAGGGTGTTGATGGTCAAAACGCAGTTATTGCAACTTTAGGATTGATTAATTCTTGATACTTAAAATAAAAATTAAGGGTTTAGTGGGTTTTATTTTAAATATATTAGGTTTGGCCCCTCTCATTGGCAGAAGTCATAAGTTGAGGGAGGTATGCAGGAGGGTGAGGTGTTGGTGTACATGAAAATTATATTTAAAAGTCTCTCCACTATTTCTGCATCTAACGTAAACTGCAAGATTTTTTAGATACCGTAAAATGTCCAACAGCCAAATTCAAACCAGCACATAGCTTCCAAAATAAATTATTCACAAAAAAGTGAAGAAAAGATGAATATTTTATGTAATTAAATTTCACGTTTGCATGAAGAATGATTTACATTGCTATGAAGCGTGAAGAAGGTTGGTCATTAAAGCTCCATGATCCATGATAAGTTGGATATCCGAAAAATAGTATTATTGAGTTTCGCCAAGATACGAAATAAAATTTGGGCGTTTGAGCGAAAAAAGATGCAGATTAAGAAGTCAAGACGTATAAATTTAATTTTTTTGTAGCGAAAACTTTTTAAAGCCCAATAATTTTTATTCAAATTTTTTTTATGAGTTTTAGACTCCATTTATTTCATACTGGATCACTGTAAATCGCTCATGAAATAAATACATGAAAATAATTTAATTTTTTATAGCTTTCCACTTAAAATATTTAAATCTATGTCTGTCTGTTTAATAGATTTACACACATACGAAACTGTATGTTGTCCATGGTTATATCTTTATCGATTTCAATATTGTCATAGAAAAAGAGCAAAAACATATATGTATAAAAATAATATATGGAAATTCAAAATCTGTGTCTATAGATATATAGCTTTTTTTTCTCTATAGAATAAGCCATAAATCCTACTTTCATTCAAATACGAACGCTTGCAATAAAGAGCTACTACAAAATGCCACTTAGCCTTTTTTTCGGAAGTATTCACACCGCGCATGGAGAATATTACAGTTTATTGATAAGCTATGGTTTACATTTAATGCTTTATAAAGGCTGTTCAAGTTTGAGATAAGTATTTATTCGAAAAATGTATCAATGAATGGAAAATTACACAGTGTCAATACAATTAAGCCACAAATATGATTGAAATGCAAGCATTCAAGGTATAAATCAACCATCAACATGTCAATATTAAAATTATAGATTGACAGCATGACGTCATCTCAACAATTTGGTATTAAGAAGCAGCAAGCTTCAAAGAAAATAGAAAATTCGCTAATGTTAGAAAATAAATTGAAAGTAAATCATAGCTCGAAGCTGCATGACTTTATGACATCCCATGGGATTATTCGACCGTACAGCACATTATTTGGGATAAAAAGGAATTTACCAAGAACAGAGGCTACATTAAAATTCACTTACTCCGTTAAAAAAACACCCAAAAAACTCATCAAAACATTGTCAACAACCTTAAAGCTATTTGAAGGGTGAAAAGTGGACCATTTTAATAACTTCTGTTACAAGATAAAAATTCTGAAGCACAATCCGCCACAGGCTTAACTCATGAATTTTAAGAAGCATACCGTAGCTTATCATGTTTACAGCACAGAAATGTAAACAAACAAATTCGTAGAATTGAAATCAGGAAGCAATAACTCAAAAAGTTGAAGAGTTAAATCACTGCCTTGCTGAAGACTTAAAGCTCACTATTTCAACCAATGTCACGTGTAGCACGGAGTGAATATGATAAATTTTCACATTTGTAAATTCTATGCGTCACATATTTATGGCGGAAAAACAATAGCAAAAAAGTATGCAAGCTTTTTTTTTTTGGTGAAAAGCAACGTAATATTTCATACTGTGAATAAAAAAAAATGTAAATTTATCATCATATTATGAATGTAGTAAAAGCTCTATATATGAATATATTTTTGTTTCGGAACAAATGTATCCCTCTTTTGTAGTGTACGTTAGAGCTAAAAGCATAATCAGAGCAAAATATTATGTATAATTTATAAATTGAGGAAGAAACTTTTATTTAATTTTGCTTAGAAGCAAGTCTAAGTTTAGTCTTTTATCAGTTTAAGTTCGCATGAACAACTTTTTCTTCACACTTGTTTACAACATTAATCACAATGTTTGAATCATTTTCTGTCTATTTTTCAGAGATCGAAGCCGATTTTTTCGGCTTAATTCAATTTTTGATTTTTTTTGATAGAAAAGAGCCATTTAACTACCATTTTAAGTATTTAAATTGAACTTTATATGCTTTACTATGATTCTGTGTAATATTTTGTCAGCATGTAGCTATAGTAAGCTCAGAATTTCAATTTAGCCGATTTTAAGCCGATCGGCTTAAATTTCGGCTTAACATCATTTAACTTGAAATTCTGAGCTTACTATAGCTACATGCTGACAAAATATTACACAAAATCATAGTAAAGCATGTAAAGTCCAATATAAATACTTGAAATGTGTGCTAAATGGCTTTTTTCTATCAAAAAAATCAAAAGTTGAGTTAAGCCGAAAAAATCGGCTTCGATCTCTGCTATTTTTACTTCTTCTTTGGGGTCGTTCATTTGTTATGTAATGCTTTTAAGGGGTTTGTAGAAAATTTTGTGGCAGTTCAAATAAAATAAATTTTTCTATCAAGATTACAAAAATAAAGGTTTTTAAAGTCGATTTATTTTCTTGTTACTTAATAAGTAAACGACCCCTTTCGAAGAAAACTTTCTCATTTTACGGGTTTTCACGGAAATTAATTTTTGACTTTACTGTGAAGAAAATATTGAAAAATGATATTTCTTTGATGAACTTCTATTGTAAAATGAAGTCTAAGAGACTTTGTAGGCATATCAAGTTTTTACATTAAGTATTTATAAATTTTTAGCTGGCATAATGAATGCTTTAAGTTATCATGAAAATAAAATCAATCTAAAATTACAAAACTAGTTTTGTAAAAATATTGAAATGTAAATAAAATGTGTTGTTAAGAACGATCTAATTTCTGATGAGAATTGAACCCATATCCTCACAAAATAAAGGATTATATAGATCATTAAGGATGTTACATCTGTTGCATAACCAATCGGTTGTAGAGACGATACTATGTTGCTAATAAAGTTGTCTGTATACTCCTCAATAATTAAGATTCCAATCTTCTCAAACTAGAGGACAAGCTCACAAATATTTGGTATTAAGTCGAGTCGACTAATCCATATGAAATCATGACAATCTATAGTTTATTATCTCATCTTTTTAAGTCCACATTACTACGTCTTCACTCATTGACACCTACATCCTTGTTAAAAGAACAATTTCGTAGTAATAAAATGAAACCTTAAAACCTTGTTAGTAAATCGTAAAAGTTCCTCCTACTTTGTAGCACAATTTTTAATTTAAAAATAGACCACTCACAAAATATCTCAAGCTTTAAACACCTACAGTAAATTTTCAACATGTCTGGATCTTGACTTTTCATAGGAACACATTTTTCCGCTCCTTTATTAAACAATGCTGAAATTGGACATTTGAAAGACAATATAAAGTTACAGTGACAATTATTTAAGGCAATATCAAGAAGCTTTTTCATTTAGTTTTCCAAGAAAATGATGAAGTAAATATACAGACGGAATAATTTCATTGCATTGTCATGGCACGTATCCATGGTTACTAATAAACACGTGAACAGAAAAAAAATGATAAAAGGGCTCTTCACATCGTGCATGAAGAGATATCTTTAAAGACTCTTAGTAAATGATGAAAACATCTTCAGCAGATATGCTTAAAAAAAATCCATAATTGCGCATATTGAGTATAATGAAAATAAAAGAGGAAACCTAAAGCCGCTTAATTTTCCTCTTTTGAATCGTTCATTAATCCTTATAATTCCCTCTTGTAACAACAGATAGAGGAAGAGCCAATAAAGAATGAAAGAGACATTTCCATGGATAAGAATTAAAATTCAAATTATCTTCATAGCTTATCGCTAGGAACGATTTTCAAATGAAGAAAAAATAACATAATTTCCACATATATATATACACAAAAGTACAGTGATAAAAATACGCTAAGAACGGTAATTAAATTTCAAATCAAATTTATATCAACGAGGACAAAAATACGAAAGCCGGAAAATTCACATTTCAAGTTTTTCTTATTCTGTTTTCTTTTCTCTTCATGTTTTATTTACAGATGCGTTAAAAATTCCAAGAAAGGAGCCAAAAAAGAGAAACAAAGGAAATACGGATATTTTGGTAAGCTATTGCTAACATTTGGTATTGTTTATTCAACTTTGATCTTTTGATTCGGGGTTGCTGTTTTGGGGAGGGAATGAATGAAAACAGTGTGATTTAGCAATAAATATATATAGTAAATATGAGACTTCTGTGTCTTTATCACATTGACGCTGGATGTTTTTGAATGATTTTCGATAAGGCACAGTTTATATATGGAATTAAACACTTTTTGAGATTTTTAAACCGATCGTTTTAGAGGTTAAACGTTCCATAAATATTACATGTTGGTGGCAAATCAATATTGATTGCAGTTAAAAATTGAAATGGTTTTTTCTTGACTTCAAGAATCTTAATTATTTATGCTCAAAGTTTCGTATGCATTAATTTCAGTTCCTCTCATTAAAAATTTCAAGATATTGCATAAATAATGCTTTCATGCAAGTTTTATGAATCAAAATTCCGATGCATTTACTAAGAAATGTCGTAACCATGACTGACTGTATTCCCAGTAATATTGTTTCAAAACGGACGAAATGTTTTCCAGAAATGGTCAGACAATGCCATCCAATTAATTTCTCAGCCGAACAAAATTGCTCGGAAAAATGAATCATCAATAAAACATTTTTTCCACAGAATTCGAAAGTTCTACCGAAATATTTTGTCATTCAATTTATCAGAAATTTTGTTTCTCAGAAAAATTCAAGAACAGCCATACAGCAATCCTTATTTCCATAAAATACTTCACAAACAAAGCAAATTTTTTCAATGACATATAACAGCATCAAAGCATCAAAGTACCGAGACAATACCTACAAATTATTTACTGTTGCCATAAAGGTCTGTAATTGAGTACCCAAGGCTTCAAGACATACTTTACTTGGATGTAAACAATTTCTATATTTAGATCAAAAATATTTTTCGTTGTCAAGTTGTTGGCTAGCAACCCTGTTAAGAACACATATATGTTTTGAATTCTTAAGGGTCATTTATATATGAAGTACAATCTTAAGTGTGTTGAGGTTGGGAATCATGAGCTTTGACATGAAAACACAATTGTGACAAAGCTGGGAGTGGGTTTCAATTTTTCGACAGTCGTCATTTGTGAACGACACACTTCAAGCTTAATATTTAATCATTACAAGACCAAACTTCATCGGAAGAAGGATCTCTCACTTAAACGAGAAGAATGGAATAAAACTTTTATCATAAAAAGGAAAAGTTATGTTATATTATTGCTTTGAAAATACCACCAAAAAGTGAAGTGGTTGAAAGAGAGACTAAAGATAAAGAAGACAGAAAGATGCATAAAGAGAAGTGGCAACTTATTTTTTATACATTTGTTGAAGTGTGCGGTGAATATCTTCTTAAAGATTTCTTTTTTTTTCCTTTTCTTCTTTTTTTTCATCTTTTCTTTTTGATGAATGATATGAAATGTAAACATTTTCTTTTATGTATACCCCCCTCGGTAATGTACAAAAGTTTGTTACTAGCAATGATTTTTTGGATACATGTGGCGCAGTTGACTTTCCTAGTTAATATTCATAGAATCATGACCCCTCAAAAATCGACATTTAACCTTCAAAATTAGCTCTTAATTCTCCAAATGACACTATTACTATAATCCTCAAAATTCTAGATGTTACAAAATAGACAAAGTAACGCATTATAGACGCACATTGTGCCTCGTAAGAATGCTGAAAAGTTTTTAAAAGATTAAATCGCTTTTTTATATTCTTTCCTTTTTATTTTCATTTTCGTGTATTTTTCCCTGCCATTTCCAAACTGAACATAAAGTTTTTCTTTCTTTATTCATTCATTCATTCACAGAGATTATGGTTTTCGCAGTTTCCCATAGAAAAGACAATTGTTATCAAAATCTCGGGTAGGTCCTTAAAGTTTTTTTTTATTCTCTTGTTATTTTTTTTTTTTGTTTCATTTCTGTTGTATGTGCTCGAGCTATGTACAGAAATATGTGTGTGTACAAAAGAGGAAGAGCGATATAAATTAAGGCTTCTCCTTAGTATTATTTTCTCTCGAGCAATTTCTGCAAGGAAGCGAAAATGTGAAAAGTCAGAAATGTCAAATACTGATTGTGGGCTAGTTTGGAAATGAGGGTACAATGGGATCAATGATTTGCTGTAGTCCATCTTTATCCTTAGCTCACGCATCAAGCTGTAAAACCATTGTTACGATACTTGAACCCGAATTTGCCCTTATCTCGAACAATGCCTGCTACAAGGCTCCTTATAGAATTGGATTTTTAATTTCCCAATCTAGTGTTACGTTACATTCGAACGAAAATATTCTTAACAATTTTTTTTTTCTTCTGTGATGCAAGAAATGTCACACCCTTTTTGATCCTTTCAATAAAAAGCTTATTTTTTTCTTATCCCACAAGCTCCTCTCTGTTAGGCGATGAAATGGCGAAATCATCAAATTATACGCACGTCTTACGTGGAAAGGAAAAAAAAAAAAGAAAAACGTTACAATTCAATTTTTCGATTGAAAAGTTATAACTTCTCTTCACTTTCATTTCATTTCTTTTATATCTCTCGCATTTCTTTTCTTGAGCTTATATTATTTTTTTTTTTTTTTGATAAAAGCAATTTTTCCATCAGAAGCTAGTGGAACAAATCTCAGAAATAAAGAAAATTATAAAAAAAAGTTACTTTCATCTTTTAACAAAATAAAGAAAAGGAAAAACGGAAGAAAAGAGAAAGAAAAACATTTTTATATTCAGTCAAAGAAAAAATTTTGAAAGCTTTAAAGATTAAAGTCGTCACGAGAATAACAAAAAAAATGAAATGAAATGAAATAAAGAAAGTTAAGTTAACGTGAATTGAAGGAAAATGTCATTTTCAATGTGCGTGAATTGAAAAGGATGATGTTAAGGGTGAAAGGTGAACTGGGGAGCTCATTGATTTTTAATGCGTAAAAGGGCAATTCTCCAGATAAGTTTTTCAAAAAATCATCCGGAGAATTGATTTTTCTCGAAAATTTTCCATTACCAAGCATTAGTTTTACATTTAAATCGATGTAACATGGCAAAAACTATTATATTTCATCTATTTTAGTCTTTGAAAGTAACCATTAATTAAGTTATTTCAATTTTTTGTCAAAATTACTGTCAGCAAAAAATGGAATAATCATCCGGAGAATCGAAAATTGAAGAAAAGTAAACACTCATTTTTTATTATGATTATGCAGAAATGTAGTTTTTGAGCTAATCTATCTAACCATAATCATATCACACTCCAATAATTACTATTTAAAGAGAATTTTTGATTCTTCGGTGGATTTTTTTGCTGACAGTAAAAAAATTAAGCTTTTATTTTGCAAATCCATGAAAAAAATGCAAAGCAAATATTTCATAAAAATTAAATTTTAGTCTTAATTTAACACTTCATGGTTGAATTATTGTTGATTCAGTTAGAATCAATCGTAATAAACAGTTTAAAGTTGCTTTAAGCAATCAAAACAAAGAAATTGACAAGATATTTACAAAAAAAAAATTGAAAGTAAACAGTAAATGACTTTGGATTATAAAAGCTCTTTTTTCAAAAACTCAACTCATCTGGAGAATTGCCCAAAAAAGAAATTGAAAGCGATGGTAAAAATGAATTTTTGAAGGCTTAGTCACTACATTTAGTATCGTATTTTGCTGTAAAACTATTGAATTTCATTTATTCAGGGAAAGAGGGTATAAATTATAAATGTTTTTAGATTTTGAACTACCTACACCCAAAATGATATATCATCAGCTACCAGAGAGTGAAATCAAGCTTTATCGACTCTGTCAATATTTATTCTAACTTAATCCGTCAAATTTCATTAAATTATGATCAATTTGTTCAAAGTTGTTTATTAAAAATTGCTTAAAATCCTTTTCCTAATTAACTTCTTTACTATTATTGCTTTACAAGCATGTCTATTGACTTGGGACATTATTTATTTTGATCCTAATACCCCAAAAAAAAGATGCTTGACTAGTGGTACACTTAGATTCTTCAACTCAGTGTGTGGGTATGTATAGACAGTTGCTCATAAAGAAATATTTTTTTTAATCTTCTAAAAAGATTCTTTGAAAATCGTTTCAATACTAAACGAACAATTTTTCTAGAGGCAAGGTTTAAGTAAATTCTAGTGAAAGGATTGATACTATAGATAGAATTTATTCCTTACCTCAAGCACTTAAATGAATATAAATTAAGAGATTTTAAGATGTTTACTGATTGACATATGATTTACAAGCTAGGTTACTATATTTTACTATGGGTCCTCGATTTGAGTAACGAAAATTAATGAATAAAAAATTTAAAAAAAAAACTTTAGTATTGGACATTTTTCATACAAAAAGTAAAAAATTCGATTTGAGTAGATTCGATTTGAATAGAATTTTTCTGGAACAAAATACCTACTCAAATCGAGGACCCCCAGTACTGATGAAGGTGATGATAACAAGAATGATCAGCTCATTGAGAAAAGAATAAAATATTGACCGCTCCATATTTTAGTTGCTAGCTCCTTTTTGCATCTCAAACATATTGTGAGCTTCATTAACATTCTCTCGGATCGAACCCAGGCAGGTTTGTTACTTCTGGTACCTAATAATTTAAAAGCAGCGATCAGCTTTTCCAGCCAATTCTTGAACTCAAGATAATTAAGTGTTCAAATCATCGAATACCAAAACATTAAACCACTGCGCTCCTAAACCACCTCAACTCACGAACTGACGATAGCTTGTCTAATAAAAAAAATTTACAGAAGACAAATTTCAATTTGAGGAATCAATGAATAATAAAATTGCTAGATCAATCATTGGTTTCCAAATTTTCCATTTTTCATAATCACAATTCCTTATTTTAGATACGCATATTGAATTATTGTCAAGTGAACAAACCTGATATGATAAAATGATGAAAATTCAAGGTCTTGCTTACGGGCATGAATCAATTTTCGGCATTTTTTATCATCAGCAATTGTGTAAGCTTGGTACGAAATTGAATTTATTTTCAATA